CATACATACATATACATATACATATACATATACATATACATATACATATACATATACATATACATATACATATACATATACATATACATATATATATATATATATATACATACATATATATATATATATATATATTTAGTTTCTCAATTTTATAAAGCAGTTTTTCAATTAAAAAAGCTTAGGAAAAATTATTGCAAAGAATGTATATATCAGGGGTACTGTATGAAAGAGTGAAGTGTTTTAGGGCAAATGTCTGCTATATTAATTGTGAACACAGAAATAAATAAAAATTGTCATGTGTACTTGAAACAAAGCATTTGAAAAATGCAAACATTTAGTAAACCTGTTCCTGAAAAATCAAACAGAAAATGTTACAGAACTATGATTATAGGAAGCAGATTAATCAGGCCCTAGAATACTATAATCAAATGTAAACATGAAGACATAAAATGACATGTGACTTTGTCCACAGTAACTCACAGTTACAGTTCAGAATTTATACAAGTGTCATGTAGCAGAATTTTATGGGTCATGCCAGAAAAATGAAGCCTTTATATTACTAGTGCTGCCCTTCCTGCCACTCCTGAATAAATCTCTAGAGTGGTGCTTTAATTTGATTACTTTGATGTGTCTAAGCATCCTATTTTCTTTTTTATTATAGTAATCTTTATAACCCTCCCCTCCAAACCAGAGATTATGATTAGCGCACCAACATTGTACTAAAATAACTTCTGCATGGTAAAATATTCTATAGCTTTCACTTATGATAATAAATAGAGACCTGAACTTTGCCTGGTTTGAATAAAACATTAGAGATAATCAGTAAAACATGAGCATCATACATCAATTCTTCAATCAGCAAATAAACAAAGATGATTTGATTGAAAATCAAGGAAATGTAGAAATTTGTTATTTGGTTACGTTTTTGCCTCAGTACACAACTCGCACTTCACAATGACTTCTGAAGGGACTAAGAAAAGTGATTAGTACATTAAAATTCACCTTCATGCACCACTACTAACAATTCCTTTAAATTCCTTTAAAATACAAATGTGCTTTTTTGGATTATGAAAACCTTCTAAGAAATGTATGCGTACAATAGCGGCGACACATTTATGAATAGTAGTAATAATTCAAAATATGTTTTCCCCATTTAGATTGGCTATGCAGTATTCCAATTTAAACGCTGAGCAATACATAAAAGGAATGACTCCAGAAGAATATGAAATAGTAAATCAGCTTCCTGGAAGTTCTGACACAGCTTTATTTTTTTTACAGTTCTTTCAAAATGAAAACCTCTTAGAAATAATATTCCATGCGTCAGCCCCTATGTGTTAATTTCACTCATGACTTGTCTGTTAAAATTAGGGTGGTTTTCAGAATTGATGGGCTGGAAAGTCATTCAAATAGAAGCAACCAAAACATTTCTCCCCCTTTCTTTCACCTTTCCTTACAGCCTAATATAGCAATTGCTTTCAGAATTGCCTACTATGAATTCATGCTCTGTGTTCTACGGCTGTGCATGTTTAAAGTAATCAAATATGGTTCTGAAGAATAAATAATTTACCATAGCTAGTGCGATGAACAGCTGGTTTGTTTTTTTTATTTTACTGAAAAAAAAAGTTAAAATACAAAATTCCAAAAAGATTTTTTTTAAACAACAAACAAATGTAAGAAAAAACACAAAACAAACGTATATCCACATATTGTCCCCCTTAGTTGAATACATTACTACAATATTACTTTTCCACCGCTTGCAAAGCAGGCCTCCCAGACTACTAAATCTATTGGGAAATAATTAACTCGTCATTTAGATACAATGCAATGTAAAATAGTTAACAAGAGCAATTTTAGATTTAAGTTTCAAAACCCTCTGTTAGCAAACTTTTATTGTAATCAACTCATAAAAAATTTACTGGCATCCAACTTATCTCAAATTGTCCTCAAGAGTTAACAGTATTTCATCCTGGATCAAATATCCATTTTTGGATACTTAAGGGTTGGGAAGATAATTTATTTTGAAAAAATTCCCAAGATACAAAAATAAAACATGCAATCCTATGTGGAAGTTCTTCTCTATGTCTATGTTTATTATACCATATTTTATTTCTATTACTATTTATGCTATGTTCTCTGTATATTCTACTGCATTCTAATATAGTACTGTATTATTATTATTTGTGCTGTATGTTATGCCATTTCTACTACAAGTATACTATTACTTTTGCTACTATGATATTCTATTCTTAGTATACTACAGAATCCCAACTCTTTAAAGACCCCGCTGGTCTGTCTTTAAATCCTCTCTCTGGGATTTCTTCTATTGTTTTTTTTTCTTATTTATTAATGTGCAGCAGATAAAGCACTGGCACCTTCCCAACAGTCGTGCTTGCTTTGGCCCTGCTGTGCCTCCTCTGAACCTTTCAGTCCCCGTGTAGAAAACACATTTTATTTCTGTTAGCTGTTGCCGTCGCCCTTTCCAAAACCCAGATTATCTCCTCCCTCACCTGTTTCAAGGTTGCAGCTTTTATAACAATTCTGCCATGTTGCTGCAGGGTGGTAGGTTTAGGTAGGAGAAGAAAAAGGCAGCACAAATGCCTGTATTTATTTATATTTTGACTAGCAAGATCCAGGAAGAAAGCCTTCTTTGCCATCACTCCCACTCTTTGGAATATAGCAATAGCAATAGCAGTTAGACTTATATACCGCTTCATAGGGCTTTCAGCCCTCTCTAAGCGGTTTACAGAGTCAGCATATCGCCCCCNAAGCCCTATGAAGCGGTATATAAGTCTAACTGCTATTGCTATTGCTATAAGAATATGAGCAACCACTGGGAAATGACTGGGAAATAAGAAGGGAATCCAAGGTGGGCTGGACTCAGATCTCTTGCGGATGCCCAGGTAATCGTGATTTATGATGCATTGACCACTATTTTGGGGTACATGGAGTCTACCTTTGAGTTCTAAGCACCCTCTAACAGCTCAACCCACCGGACAGGTTTGTTATGGGGAAAATAGGAAGAGGAAAGAGTATTAGGTATGTTCATCTCCTTTAGTTATTTATGAAATAATAAAGGCATAATAAAAAAAATCTAATAAACAAATAAATTCAATTTCTAAACAAAACAAAAAAAAGTATTAACTTCCAGGTGCATGCAATTATCAAAATACTATTTGGCCTGTACGCTCTAATTAATTTTTCATCACTCTTTTTTATTGTTTAATAAAATCCTAACAAGGAGAAAAATATAAATATTTTAGCATAATATGTACATTTAATATAATCACAATTATAATGAGCATCTAAGATATTTTCTGCAACACCATAATGAATTAATTTGTTTGTTTTCTGTTTCTACTCAGCCTTTTGCAAAATTTAAGACAAATTAGCCATGAAGCTTTAATATTTTTAAAGGCAAGTTCAACTAATAAACAGTCATAAAATATTACTATTACTATTGTCATCTCCCTTAATATTTTTCAATATTTTAGAGGTATGAAATTATTTCAAGATATAGGAGAGCACGCATTTTGAATATTATTTTCAGAATAACACTGGCAATACTAATATTTATGCAAACTTTACGTAGCAAAGATATACTTACAAGGCCTTCAAAGCGGAAAGCTCAGAGAAAAGACCATTCGTGAGACTTGAAAAAATGTTCCCTGATAAATTCCTGAAGGGGAAAACAATCATTTTTGTAAAAAAATGAAAGATGTTTCATGTTTGATTATGTTATTTGGGATCATTAGTATTTAAAAGATGCATCTTTAACACTAAACAACACGTGTGCAACTATTGTAATCTGTTTTTGCCCCCCAATATGCAACTGCAGTATTGAAAGCATATTGCCTAAGTCTTAAGCAATCAAGGCTCTGCAGTAGGGGACCATCAAGAAAGCATGAAGTCTTTATCAACAGGATGCTAAACTTTTGATAATGTTGGACTCCTTCGTTCATAAATCATACAACTGCTGCATCAGAGGTGGGTTCCTACCAGTTCGCACCTATTCGGTAGAACCGGTTCGTCAAATCTACCGAACCGGTTAGAAGAGGTTCCACCAGTGGNTTCAACATAAATAACGTAACATAAATATTAAGTGACAAGATTCCTCCACTCCACAGACCAAATCGGCTCAAGTCTAATTAATCTATCCGTCTCGCCCACACGCCAAAGCCCTGGTTCTGTTCTGGAGCCATTGATGAACCATATCCTGGGAACCATACTTCCCATTCAGCCCTGTCAAGGGGAGGGATATGAAAATTAAATTTAACAACTCAAGATCACCCCCCCTCCAAAAAAAAAAGACCGTAAGGATAGTCAATGTTCAGTTCAAGAGACAGAATAACAGTGGAAATGCCATAAATCAAAAGGAGGAAGTCTACTCTACAGCTTAAACAAGAGTCAGAAGAAATTTCATAAACTTTGGTGAGCAAGCCGGGCATCAATCTAAGCGCACAGATACCGGATATAACTATAAACAATGTTGTTTCCAGCATTAAAACCATAAACCACTTTTATGTCAAAGAAGGAAGGATTCCACCCAGAGTCAGCCAGTTCTTACGAACTTTGAAGAGAGAACATCCAGCTTTCACTCCCAAGGAATGTATCCCTGCACGCTTATGGCTTTGCACCATTCTGTTTCTATCACTCAGAGGCAATACAATTCTCATCATCTTGAGGACTGTGGTCTGACCAGCAGATTTTAAATAAATAAATCTCTGGTTCCCATTCAGGTCTGACCTTTCAGTTGCAGAATTACCTGGGTCTGTCCTTCTCATCTCATTTGCTCTCTCCCCGGAGAATGCCTACCAGAAGGGGCCATGGCATATGCCTACCAATATGGGGAATGTGCCCGTTTTCAATCATTAACTTCCCAGCCTAGGGAGTCTTTCGCAAGACTTTAAAATAGCCTCCATTGCTATTAGTAAAGCTTTTTAAAAAGTCACACTCCCACAAGAGAGGCAACAGAAGAAGGCTCTCCTGCCTAAGGTACAGCAGAATCTCCCTTCTCTGACAAGATCATTTCCCAAATTTATGCCTGCACACATTGCAAGCAAGCTTTAAAATAGATTGAATTGCCTAATTTTAATACGTACGTGATTATTTCCTCTTTTTTTTCCTGCTTTTTGATACAAGTGTGATGTTGAGTACCAAGCCTGAATTATCACATATGTACCACACAAGGCTTTTGTTTTTGTAAGGAATAACTTTTTAGAATCTCAAGCAACTGCAGATGGTTTTGGTGATNCGGCTCTAAATAATTTCTAATTAGTATTTCTAAAAGGTTTGAATTCTTGCTGCTTATCTGTACCGAGAAGTGTAGATGATTAAATTTAGTCTCAAGGAGCTTCCAAATTAAGAAAAAAAACTTCTATAAATAATATTTAGCCCTGTTGCCTTTTTCTGGCTTCATCTGGAAAGCCAATACTCTACTAGATCACTGCGAAGTGAAAAGGAACTAACTTCTAGATAGTTTAATTCTGGCAATGATTTTATGAATAAAAAGTGCTATACATTTATTTTAATAATGATCATTTTGTATTTATTGTATGCATTTTTTCATCTAAGCATTTTTCCTTGTTAAGTGGGCAAAAGAGCGCAGTGAAACACACAAATCATAATTAAGTGAAGATAATCTTCTAAGAAGTCTGCAAAAAACATAATTAAAGATACTGTCACCACCTTTTGGGCGCAGAACATTACGTTCAAACCTAAAGAAGCAGGAAAAATTACGTATATACCGTAGTACAACGTCATTGCAATTTCTTAACAAAGTATTTTAGTTCTAAATCTGTTAGCGTTATGGTTTGACTGGTGTGGCACAAACTCCATTCTTTTTTATGAATATTCTTGTTCTATTCATTCACTGCATGCTTCCTGTCCACGGAGTAATATTAGTGCTGTGGTCTTGTTTTTCTGAGGTGTGGGGGTTTTTATGTGTCATTTCCTTCTTTTTGAGAGCTGTTTTCCAAAGCAATAGTTGTGAGGATCACAAGGGGATTTGAACCCTTGTTTATAAAGATGTCCGGGGATTAAGATTCAACTGAATTCCTAGTAGGATGGGACCATGTTGTAACGTATTTATTTTACATTACAGTGCAGGTTTGTCTGCACAGTCATTGGCATACACTCTCACTGGTGGCCACTGGTGACTTCCCAGGAGCCGTCTTGTATTTTTCTCATTTTATGAAAACTTACATCTGTGTTTTTTCCCCTCTAGGGCTGAGCATCCATCGGTTGCAGCTGCCATCCTGATGTTATCTAAGTGTAAGATGGTTCTACCAATTATTCAAAAAACACAGCTAGGCTTAAATTAGTAATGATAAACCAGAATATTTATGAACAGAATCAAATTAGACCTGAAGATAATGTAAGAAATCACTGGCGGAAGTGAAATAAAATAATGTCAAATATAAGCTTTTAGAAATGTGGAATACTTCAGGTTTCTACGTTCCACAGTCTCCCAGGATTTGAAATGTACAACTAACATTACAACCATCACTTAAAAAAAACCACAACAAAGAATATCCTCCTTTTGTCAACTTAGAAAGTTAAGACTGCCCCAGGAGCTATTGATACCATTCTATGGAGTAATTATTGAGTCTGTCATCTGCACTTTGAGAAAATAGGAGCAGATTCCAACAGATAGTTAGAATTGCAGAAAAAAACAACTGCAACCAGCCTGCCTTCCACTGAAGACCTGTATATCACCCCGGTCAGAAGAAGGGCTGAGAAAATAGTATTTACAGACTTCTCACACCCTGGACATACTCTCTTCCAACTCCTCCCCTCAGGACGTTACTACAGAACATTGCATGCCAAACCATCTAGAGAGTTTTTCCCCTTGTGCCATCGCTCTGCTCAACACCTAATCTCCACAATATTGTTTTATGTCTATTTACTCAAATTATTATCCTTTTCATCTTCTTTACTACCAGTACTTGGTCTTATTGATATTATATTATAATTATTATTACTCTTGTTACTTTTCAGGTACATTGAGAGCTTCTGCACCAGAGACCAATTCCGTGTATGTCTAAGCACACTTGGGCAAATAAAGTATTCTATTCTATTCTATTCTATTCTATTCTATTCTATTCTATTCTTCCTATGATGTTATAATTTTCTTTAAAAGCACAGCCAGTGCTTCTTGCAAACCTTATGAGTGGCGTAAACTGTTACATATGTTAATATCAGTAACNCGCTCTCGGGACGCATCTGCTATTGCAGATCAAAGAGCCATGACCATCCCTGCAATCAATGTTTTGATCTACATTTGAATAAGAAGCAGGCACAGCAAACACAGGAGTGCTTATAACTGCAGGTACAAATATTTAACTCCATTTGAAGACAGGTTCCTTCCTGTGAAAATTAACGAGATAGAAGCAAAAATGGCGCCCGAACATTAAAGGGTGTGGTTAAACTGAAAGTTAACAAGCAATCATCTTCTGAACTGTTTCCTAACATTGCTAAAAGAACCAAGAGTTTAAGATCAAACAAAATAGCATTGGCTTATTAACAAGCTATAAGACTTAACAAGCTGGAGACTAGCTGGACTTTTTGGACTTAACAATTTTTCTGTAGATAAGTGTGATTTGAATAGCTGAAATGGTTTCCAAAGTTTTAACTCTTGAAGCTCTTCAAGGTGCCTTAAAGCAACAGACATCTATGCTAGAAGCAAAAATAGAAGGGAAAAATCACAACTGCCTTTAAAGAGGTGTCTGATCAAATGTCTGAAATCAAGGATTTAATTCAAACCCGTAATCAACAAATAAGAGAAGACATAGTGGATGCCTTTAAAAGCAAAGTTGAAGATGTTCAAAGCAAGATTGAAAAGTCAGAGGTAGAAATCACAATGATACAATATAGAGCGATGGAATTTGCTTTGAGAATGAGAAGCTTGAAAGAAAATAACCAAGAAAACTTGAAAGAGATCTTTGCAGAAGCTTTTGATCAACTAATTGGTCAATTCAGGGCTGAGTATGATTGGCAGACTGACAAAATTTATGGCGTTAATTCATGGATTGCCAGACAGAAACAACTACCAAGGATTAATTTGATTCTGAATTTAACAACGGCAGCAAGATTGTTGGTGGCGGAGTACTGGAAGAAGGAAGAATTGCTTACTATTCAAGAATGGACGTTAAAAGTAACAAGCTTAGCAGAGGTGGCTAAAATATCAGCATACCTCAAGGACCATTCAGATGAGAAAGACAAGTTGGAATGGAGAAGATGGACTGATTATATTCAAATAAATATGGGANGATAGATAGATAGATAGATAGATAGATAGATAGATAGATAGATAGATAGATAGATAGATAGATAGATAGATAGATAGATAGATAGATAAATGAAAATAGGAAGACTGGAAGAAGCAACATCTGAAATCAGGAGTGAAGGCAGAAACATGAACAATCTGAGTTATGCAAACACCACCACTTTATTAATTCAATATAAAGATGACAGAATTCAGAATTAATGCAAAACGTATTAAGTATTTTTGAACCAGTTAAACTTTAAGACAATGTGAATCAACATACTTAGTTGACTGCAAAAGAAATGAAGGTAGTACAGAGTTTTTGTTTTCTCAATCAGGAATAATTAAAGATGGGCAATGCACTGGGGAAGTAAAAAGAAGTAATTACGGAGAGGAAGGCTGTGACAAAGAAT